ACTCAAGCTAGTTTGAGAAAAAGTCAGACTGAAGCACTTCGGGTTGAACAAACTTATCCAAGTTACAACACTAGCTATAATCTATCCAAACTTAGTCCGAGTTACAGCACTAGGTACAAGAGATGGACCAAGACCGATCTGATCGTCCCATAACATAAATTTTTTAACAACTTAAATCAAATAAAGATAAAATACACCGATCTCTCAAGAAAAATCTCGTAATTTTAATGTAATTACACCGTCTTTCATTTTAATAAGTTTTAAAGGATCCAAATTAACACATAGTGAAAAAACAAAAAATAAACAAAACTCACACTTCAATGTAAAAGACAACAATTTTTTTCATTCATTTGACGAATAAATTACTAATAAAAAAAGATGTTTGGTTTGTTTTTTAGAGAAAAAAAAAATTGAAAATATAAAAATTAATTTAATAAAAATAATAATCAAAAAGATATTTTTAAATTTATTTTTGGCCTACCAAAGGATAAAATAATATAAAAATAATAAATATTTTTAAGGTAAATTACAAATATACCCCTTAAAGTTTGCTTAAAATACGAATTACCCTTATAATTCTGAAAATTACATCCAGCCCTTTGAAATTTTAATTTCATAACAAATTACCCATTTTATTAATAAATTATTAAGTTAATTAATAATTTTTATTAATGTGAAAAAATTATTCAATTAATATTTCAAATAATTTTATTATTATATACAAGAGTAGTTAGAAATATCATTTTTATATAATTTTATCATATATTTCCAATCCCATGAAAGGAATATTTATAGTTTTTCAAACTTTCAGGGAGTATATGCGTAAATTACCTTATTTTTTATTACCTTATCCCTCCTATCCTGACTGACTCCATATCTTGGGGCATCCCTGCTGATAGGTTTTTCTCCTAAGGGTTGGTTTGGGAAGTAGGTTGGTTTTTTAGTTTTTTGGTTTTTTTTGGCTATTTTAGCCTTGGTTAAAAAGTCTTATTTGGAAAGGACTTTTTAACTTTTTGGCTTTTTTTGTGAGAAAAGAATATAATGATTATAAATTGGATATGATATTTTATTTTTTATGACTAAAATAGCTTATTTTATTTTTTGTAACTAAAATAGTCAAATTAGCCCTTCCCAAATGGACTTGCTTAAAACGATACTCTCAATGGGTTACTAATGACAACCCGAAATTTAGCTGGGCTTGACTCTGAAAACTCGAAATTACCCAAAGGGCAAAGGCTTTCTTTTGTTATCCCTCTCGAGGAATCACTGGAGATTTACTTGTTAATTTTAGGACCACCAAATGTTTTCAGCTCTCCACATACAAGATAGCTCGGATTCATTTGGGTTAAACTGAGCAAGACATACCCTTGATTATCAACCAAAAAAAAAAAAAAAAAAAAAAAAAAAAAAACTCTAATATTTGTAACCTCTGCACCGAGAACACCCTTCATGCCCTGATAGATTGCCATAAAGCCCAAAGGGTATGAAGACTTTTCTTATCGAAAACTGACATGGCCCATTTGCTGGGAATATTTTATTTTAACACATCTATTTATCTCAGTGCATATCATTTCTTAATACATACACTTATTAATTTGGTTATTGATTATTCTTTTAATTCTACATACTTTACATTCTAATTATATCCTAATTTATATCCTTATACATACATTACCTAAACCCTCCTTCCACGTACATTTACCCATTCGGTTGAAAGCCTTCTTCCACATATGTATGAAAATGACCTATTGATGAAACAATGAAGACCTATTGACATCTCCAAAATCCTATATTTGACTACTCCATTGAAAACCCTCCATTTGAAATTCTTTTGTGTTATCTATTTGCAATCCATTGTGTTTGCGTTTCATTGGAAAACTGGCATGTTTTCCTTTGATTTTTCATTCGGCACTAGTTTACCCCCAAAAAAAAAAAAAAAAATTACGAATTATACTAATGGTCCCTATAGTTTGGAACTTATGTCACTTTAGTTCTTGACTTTTCAATTATGACACATTTTACCCTGAATTTTGAATCTTATTCCAACTAAGGACAACTGAAAATACTATTACTCAATTTCAAGCGCAAAGTCCTTAATTTGATAAAATATAAACTAATTTAACAAAAATAAACGTCAAAAAAATATTTTTGAATTTTCAAAATTATTTCTACTTACTAAAGATAAAATTGATAAATCTTTTACACATTTATTTATTTTACCAAATTAACTTTTATTATGTGTTTGAATAATAATCATGTGATGGATGGTTGTTTTTATTTTCATTAAATTAGTTTTTATTTTTTTAAAAGTCAAATATGATGACAACTTTGATATCATTATTAAATCAATCCATTAAATCAAAAAATATAAAACTAAAAACATTTCATATATTAAATATATCGATTACACATTAAAAGCCTAGTAGCTACTCATTACATGATCATCATCCAAACACATAATAAAAATTAATTTGGTAAAATAAATAAATAAATGTGTAAAAGATTTATCAATTTTACATAATTTTATCTTTGATGGGTAGAATTAATTTTTAAAAATTCACAAATATTTTTTCTAATATTTATTTTTGTCAAATTAGTTATATTTTATCAAACTGATGACTTTACCCTTGAAATTGAACAATGGTATCATCAATTGTCCTTATTTGGAATAAGATTCAAAATTTAAGGTCAAATGTGTCACAATTAAAAAATTAAAAAATTAAGAATTAAAATAACACGAGTCTCAAATTACTGGGACTGTTAGTAAAATTCGCACAAAAAAAAATTTTAAAAAAAAGCTATCACTCGACTGTTAACTTCCGGAGATATTAGATATTTTCATCTCGATTGGGTTTCTCGCTTTTCTCCAGAATCTTTCCGTTTGGAATCTCCGATTCGTTCACTTTTTCAGCTTGTTCAACAAGTACACCCATTTGGCCCTTATAGTTCAATGTGGTTAACTAGATGATCCAATGTTATTCTAAACAATAATGTTAGGGACATGAAAAATATATCATGAAACTTATCATGAAGATTTTTTATCGAAACAATGAAGACCTATTGACGTCTCCAAAATCCTATATTTGACTACTCCATGGAAAACCCTCCATTTGAAATTCTTGTGTTATCTATTTGCAATCCATTGTGTTTGCGTTTCATTGGAAAACTGGCATGTTTTCCATTGATTTTTCATTCGGCACTAGTTTACCCCCAAAAAAAAAAAAAATTGCGAATTATACTAATGGTCCCTATAGTTTGGAACTTATGTCATTTTAGTTCTTGACTTTTCAATTATGACACATCTTACCCTGAATTTTGAATCTTATTCCAACTAAGGACAACTGAAAATACTATTACTCAATTTCAAGGGCAAAGTCTTTAATTTGATAAAATATAAATTAATTTAACAAAAATAAACGTCAAAAAAATATTTTTGAATTTTCAAAATTATTCCTACTTACTAAAGATAAAATTGATAAATCTTTTACACATTTATTTATTTTACCAAATTAACTTTTATTATGTGTTTGAATAATAATCATGTGATGTATGGTTGCTTTTATTTTCATTAAATTAGTTTTTATTTTTTCAAAAGTCAAATATGATGACAACTTTAATATCATTATTAAATCAATCCATTAAATCAAAAAATATATAACTAAAAACATTTCATATATTAAATATATCGATTACACATTAAAAGCCTAGTAGCTACTCATTACATGATCATCATCCAAACATATAATAAAAATTAATTTGGCAAAATAAATAAATAAATGTGTAAAAGATTTATCAATTTTACATAATTTTATCTTTGATGGGTAGAATTAATTTTTAAAAATTCACAAATATTTTTTCTAATATTTATTTTTGTCAAATTAGTTATATTTTATCAAACTGATGACTTTACCCTTAAAATTGAACAATGGTATCATCAATTGTCCTTATTTGGAATAAGATTCAAAATTTAAGATCAAATATGTCACAATTGAAAAATTAAGAATTAAAGTAACACGAATCTCAAATTACTGGGACTGTTAGTAAAATTCGCACAAAAAAAAATTTTAAAAAAAAGCTATCACTCGACTGTTAACTTCCGGAGATATTAGATATTTTCATCTCGATTGGGTTTCTCGCTTTTCTCCAGAATCTTTCCGTTTGGAATCTCCGATTCGTTCACTTTTTCAGCTTGTTCAACAAGTACACCCATTTGGCCCTTATAGTTCAATGTGGTTAACTATATGATCCAATGTTATTCTAAACAATAATGTTAGGGACATGAAAAATATATCATGAAATTTATCATGAAGATTTTTCATTATTTGATTAATGTGTAGTGTTTTATTGTATAAGTAATTCAAAACTAAAAAATTTTTCATAATCATTTTCATGATATTTTTTTCATGATCCCCAACATTATTTTTTCTGAATATTGATGGGAGTAAAAAAAGATATCTCATCCGATGGGAGTAAAAAAAGATATCTCATCCATTAACAAATGCAAAGAAGAGACAAATATGCTTCAAATCAAGGCAAATTGGCCTAGTAAACCAAAAATAATGATAGTACAAATAACGAAGAAATTAAGGTTTAAATTTTGTTTACTCAAAAGATGTGTGTTGAAATTTTTTTATTTTTAAAATATATGTACAAAGAATATTTTGATATAATATTATTGGAGTATTTTAATGTCCATTATAATCATTTTACTTTAAAATATAATTGTCATTAAAATAGTATTTCATTAAGTATGTATTGAGGTAAATAGGTATGTGAAAACAGAATTTCCTCATTTGCTGCTCAACAGATGATGACAATTCCACTATTACCCCTGTAATTGTTTGTCACTGCTCTACTGAAATGGGCCGGGCTTCTAAACATAGATCACCCTACAAAATGAACGAGCCAGACTATTGAAATGACTACACGTCCAGACATCACCTGGCGAGGAACCCCAGTTCGACTGGAATAGTTTGTGATTAAACATTATGACAGTACAATGAATAAATAAAGTTTAAAACATGTATCCAACATAGACAGAATTGTTTCAATAATTTTGATCAAATTAATCCATCGCTGGTCAAAAACTAAACCAACAGTAGTTATTGAAACTCAGTGTACATAAAAAGATACAATTAAAGCTACAAAACCTATTAAAACTATACCTATGTACAAACCTGGAGCCTGAAATTTGGGTATTGTTCAAGTTGTCAATCTCCACAATCAATCCATCATGTCCTCAAGTAGTCATCAAGTATGTGCCCGATCCCTTTAGAGGAAGCATGCACGAATATGTAACATACTTCACGCTGTCCATTAAAACAACAACAAAAATCCTAGAGAGGGATTTCGGTCCCATCACACCATCACCGTCCCCATCACCAGCCTCCCTTGGGTCAACTAGCACAGAAACCACCACTGATGAACGAGAATTGTTTCCTCGAAAGTTGTCTTTTTGTGGATTTTTTCCCACGTTGTCTTTGGAAATGTTGTTCTGACCGCTGGGAAGAGGAATTGGAGCACCATGGAGAATCCTTCTATTCCGCCCCTTGAAAAGGTGTGTAGCGTTCTGACAGTGTTCCGTAGAAACATTCATGACCGATGTAGCTGGAACTATGGCTCCTGGAGCTGGCGAGACATCAAACCGGAACACTTCAGTGCACATGCCGGAATTCAACATTGACCCTGCACAGAACATCATTATCAGTTGCAGTGAAGGCAACATGATTAGAGGATCACATAGCTAAAATTATCCAGAAACCTGCACAATTTACTTAAATGTGAAATGAAATAACCAAAACAACCAGAACATAAAACATACAGGCATCTATCAGAACCTCCAGAAAACCACACAAGTATGCCACAAAATGATGGCTATATGATCCAATTAGAAGTTGTATTGTTAAATGGGGAAAATACTACAAAAAACAAAATTACTATGATGTGAAAGCACAATGGATGAAAAGAAAGTGAAAAGAAAATTAACTTTTTAATATGTAAAAATTAAATAAAATAAAATAAAATTATTTTACGAAACTACAAGAAAATAAGATTTATTGAATTGTCTGCGAGTCAAAAAGAAAGCTTCAAGTTCATCTAAATTAACCTAATCCATATAACCTTTAAGAAAAAACTTCTTCATGTACAGGGGGTATGCCCTTTTGATTTATGTATTCCTTTTGTTTTCAATAAAATTATCACTCACCCCAAAAAAAAAATGGAATATTACTCTGAAAAGCCATGTTTTCTAGAAAATCAAGCCATGCCATGGCTCCTAAATTCTCAAATATTACTCTGTTTCTTGCAAACCAAACTCTTGAAAAACTAATCGAACAGGCCCTTAAGGATTCAAAACTGGAATATGAAATACCATCATCAAACACCACCATTCTTTCCAAGTCTCTGTCCAAACAGTGAAAAAGACGTAACAAGATGCAAGATGTGTAACAGCATCAGAAACTTTATTTGTTTACAGGAGAGGAACTTCAAGCTTTTTCTTGGATCTCAGTTCTGCAATTCAAAAACTTAGGGTACCATGGAGTCATTTTCACAATAACCTCTCTTCACTCATGGACTCTTCGTATCTGAAGACATGTGTCGGTGAAAACGATTCTAGCCTCTCTCTAATGGCTATGTTGGTCACTGGAGCCTCCCTACCAAATTCAACTGAAATCTCATCGGAAGAAGGGGATCACCTCATCTGAAGCACGAAGAAAGTGAAAGGAATTCAGCAAATGGCCCCTGATGAAAGCATGGTTGATCTTCCCCCATCTGCTTCAGATGGAAACTTAGGGGAAACTGCTGTCAAAGCTACCACTGCTCTACGAGAGGAAGGAAAACTTAGATCCTTCAAACAAGTGCTTCTAAATGTTAGACAAAATGAAAAAGAGTTTGACAGTGATCTTGAGAACCTCTCCGCAGATGATGAGCTCACGAGCGAAGGTGAAGGGGATGAGGAAATCGAAGATCAAGAAGAGGGGGCACAGTTGAATCCTGATATCCCTAAGGTAACGTTACCGAGAGCCTTGATCCGGAAGATCAGACAACCATGGAAAGATTGTCTCATTGTGAGACTTCTCGGAAGAAATATTGGGTATAAGGTCCTCCGTAATAGAGTTCGAAGCCTGTGGGGACTCCAAGGAGATTTTGAAGTGGTAGATCTGGGATTGGGGTTTTTCTTGTTCAAATTCGAGATGAAACAAGACTATGTGAAAGTGGTTTCTGAAGGTCCATGGATTCTATTGGATACCTTACTATGCAAAAATGGGAAGCGGATTTCAAACCATCTGCGGCGAAGGAAATCTTGACAGCAGTTTGGGTGCGCTTTCCCCAACTTCCAATCAAGTATTACAATGAGAAAGTGCTCTTTCACATTGCTAAACTGGTTGGCAAACCACTGAAAGTTGATCTGAATACAGCTACATCAACAAGAGGTCAATAAGCACGAGTCTGTGTGGAAATTGACCTAACCCAGCCACTGAAGTCAAAATTTGCTATCGGTAAGTACATTTATGATATGGAATATGAACATCTTCATTCATTCTGCTTCTCGTGGCAGGGTTGGACATCGTGTTGATGTATGTAAACTCTCTCTGGCGCCGGCAATAGAAGGACAGACAAGGAATCAGGAGACACATGAGGTAAACAACAACCATCCCAACATGTAAGTTAATGGGCTAGAAACACAACAAAACAAGAAGTGGGCCAAGGGATCTGAGACTGGTACTGGATCAACAAAATATGGGCCTTGGACATTGGTAGCTCGGAAATCAAACAGAAATATACAAGGCAGGAAACCCACTGCAGGAGTTGGGCCTAAGGGAGGAAACCATTTTGGGCCGCTAGTGGAAGAAACAAACATTATCACCTCAGAAGGAACTGGAGGACAAATGGGTGCATTTAGATACCATCAAGGGGTACCAAACAGAAGAGTTAAAGATGGACAAGGACAGAACTCCCAAAAGGATAAAGGCCTAGCTCAACCAAATGAACAAGAAGCTAACCAGTTCAATGATGTTACAGATATATCCAGCAAAGACAAGGAAGTAATGTCAAAGGAATCTCCTAGAGCAGAGCAAGTCAGGAAAGTGAACGTGAAGTAAGAGACATTGAAGGGACCTACTCTTCTGCAAAGTCTGATCCAATGGAGATTTCCAAATCTCCGACTCCTGATTTTAATCTGGACCAACCCCCTACTCCTCCCAACCTAACCAAAATCAACCTCATAACTCATCCCAACCTAAACCCCTTTTCCCCTATTTGACTAATTTGAAAGAAAAACCTCCTGACCTAAAACCCATTCATACTCCTCCACTTTCTTATGGAGATCCCAGAGATAGTGCATCATCAGATGAAATACAACCATGTGAGCTTATCCTTAGAACCCGAGAGAGAAGCAATCCACCTAGCCGTCACAGAATGGTGGATCGAGGGAGCTTGGTTACAAGTAGAACCGAGCTGGAGGCGCCTCACGGGTCACCTGCAACATCTGGTTAGGCTGGCTCCGATGAGAGCAACAGTGGACAACTACCGCAGGGTTAATCTTATTATGGGTCAGCCGGATTACCAAACATCACCAGATCTTCCTAATCGGGATCCATGAAGTTGTTTTTTTGGAATTGCCGGGGAGCTGGCAACAACACTTTTAAGAGAAACTTGACTGAAATCATCAGGATCCACAAGCCCAATATCGTAGTTCTTATGGAAACCAATGTCACTTTGAGCTCCATGGGGATGTTCTTCAATAATCTGGGTTTCACAGCTTCATCAAGCGTTGATCCAGCCGGACGAGCTGGAGGAATATGGATCCTATGGGATACCCTGACAGTTAATGTCAGAGTGCCTCATGCAAATTATCAAGTTATTCATGCAACAGTGCACAAAAAAGATTATGATGAATGGGTTTTATTAGCAGTTTGTGCAAGCCCTTATTTGAGAAACAGGGACCAGCTTTGGAGTGAAATTGAAGCAATGGCAGAGAACATGACAGCTCCTTGGCTTGTTGCAGGTGATTTTAATGACTTTGCTACCCAAGCATAACGCATAAGCTTTACACCAAACAGTAATGTGGGGAGAAACAACAAATTCTTGGAGCAGATTAACAAATGTAACCTCATGGATTTGAGCTGTTCAGGCCCTAAACTTACTTGGACAAACAACCGCCAAGGAATGACCAACACAAAGGAGTGGCTGGATCGTGCTCTTTGTAATGCTGCATGGAGCTCTCTGTTTCCTGAGTGCATCGTTCGAAATCTCCCCAGAACTTATTTTGATCACTCTCCTTTTGTCGTCCTCACAGAAGGTATGCATCCTTTTACCCCCTTTAATAAAGTTTTCCGTTTTGAAGCTGCTTGGATCACACACCCTGATTTTAGGGGAGTGGTCCAACAAGCTTGGAATGAATGCGACTCCCATTTAGCTGATAAAAGCTAATCACTTGATGTTAACTGCTAAAATTTTGAATGAAGATGTTTATGGTAACATTTTTTGCCAAAAAACGTAGACTTCTTGCTCGTATTTAAGGCATTCAGAAAGCCCAGGATTTCAAATTCACTCATAGTATGTTTATGTTGGAAAAAGAACTGGTTAAAGAGTATAATCAGGTTCTACACCAAGAGGAGATATTATGGTTCCAGAAATCTAGAGTTAATTAGATAACTCAATGGGAGGGAAACACCAAAGTATTTTCACACTGCTACCATTGCCAAAAGAAGAAAGACAAGGATCAATATGCTCATTCAAGATAATGGTATCTGGATCTCTGAGATTTCAGAGCTCCAAGCTCATGTCCAAGGATATTTTATGAACCTTTTCAAGGGTGATAACATTGATATATCCTCCAGGAGTATTGTATTTGGGGTTAAAATTAATGATGCGGACAACCGTATTCTAAACTTACCAATTTCAGACAGAGAAATCTGGGAAGCTGTTAAGAGCATAAAGGCCTATAAAGCTCCTGGTTCGGATGGCATCCAAGCTATCTGGGAAGCTATCTCTTTTATTCCCAAGGTGGATAATCCTGATGGTGTTAAGAAGTTCAGACCTACCAGTTTGTGCAATGTGAGTTACAAAATTGTCACAAAAATTTTGGTCAACAAGATCAGACCCCTGCTTGATAATCTCATCAGCCCTAATCAAAGTAGCTTTGTTCCAGGAAGATCAACCAATGATAACATTATTATCACTCAAGAGATTATCCATTCTCTCCGGTCAAAGAAAGGGAAAGTTGGTGGTATGGTCATCAAAATAGATCTAGAGAAAGCTTATGACAGAATCTCTTGGGCTTTCATTCATCAAACTCTTTGTGATCTTAACCTTAATAGCGATTGGATTGATCTGATTATGAGCTGTATCACTTCTGTCAATACGGCTATACTGTGGAATGGAAAAGCACTCCTTGAATTTCCCATGAGAAGAGGCCTTAGACAGGGAGACCCACTATTCCCATATATTTTTATTCTCTACATGGAAAGGCTCTCCAGCATGATAAATAGCAAGGTTAATAGTGGTGATTGAAAAGGTATCAAAGCTTCACGGAATTGTGTTCCCATTTCACATTTATTCTTCGTTGATGACCTCTTGCTCTTTGCCAAAGCAGATACAACAAATTCCGAGGTGATTTTGGAAGTTCTAAATGAATTCTATGAAATCTCTAGCTAGAAAATCAACCCCCACAAGTCAAAATTTTTTTGTCTAAAAATGTGCCTAGAACCAAAGCTAAAGAACTCAATAATATGAGTGGTTTTCCCCTCACTCAAAATCTTGGCCACTATCTCGGTACACCAATCCTTCATGGTAGAGCCAATAGAAATAACTTTCAATTTATCATTGAGAAAATGCATAAGAAATTGTCAGGATGGAAAGCTAGCGTTTTATCCATGGCGGGCTGAGCCACCCTCATTCAGTCAATAACTTCAACCATGCCTTCTTATCTGATGTCCAGAGCCAAACTTCCCAAGAACATTTACGCTGATAGATAAACTTAATAGGAATTTTCTTTGGGGTGACCAAGGTAATACCAAGAAAGTTCATCTTGTTAACTGGGATCAAGTCTGCAAATCTAAAGAAAAAGGGGGCTTGGGCATCAGAAAGGCTAAGCACCAAAATCTTGCTCTTATATCCAAACTTGGGTGGAACCTTCCTTATGGAAATGAAACTCTTTGGTCTCAAATGCTAAAGAATAAATACCTCCGTAATCACAATTTGTTCACTTGGCCAACCAAGCATAACGGATCACATATTTGGAAAAGCACTGTTAATTCTAAAGATGTACTAAGGAAAGGTACAAAGTGGATCATTGGTAATAGAGCCACTGTATCACTTTGGAAGGATTGGTGGTGTGGCGGCCAACCATTGGAGGACACCTCTCCTGGAAGCCACTGTGATGACACAACTGTTAATTTCATTTTGGATGACACCATGAGTTGGAAGCTTCGCAACATTGAAGATTTTTTAACCCCTCAGGATATCACCAACATTAAATGTGTGCACCCACCTAGGCTTGCTACTCTACCTAATAAACCCTATTGGATAGGCACATCTACTGGTAAATTGAACCCAAGACTAAATGGTTTAACATTTCTACATTCAGGATTTAATTGTGCTTTGCCCTATTTTTAGAGACTTCTAATCTACTCTAAGATCTAAAAATTAAGAGTCTACTAGAATTTTTTTTAATTTACTAAAAAAAATATAAATCAACGAACACTTGTGCTAGTGGAGGATTGGGAGGTCCAGTCCAAACAAACCCTTACAAATTCAATCTTAAAATGGTTAGTCTCCTAGCCTCTTCTTTCACACAAATTCATAAAACACCACATACATCGCCTTTTTCCATTTAAACATGCGAAGTGTGCGTAAAATACTTCAAAATCAGCTTATGATTTCATCACTGATGTTGGGAATCAAGAGGTGAGTTGGAAATGGATTTAGATATATTCAAACTGCCTCAAAAACTCAAAGGATTTTTCTGGCTCATTATGCAAAATAAATTGCTTACAAATCAGATGAGAGCTGTTAGAAGACTCACGGAAAATGACAGCTGTCCCCGATGCAATATGCACTGCGAGGATCTCCTACATCTTTTTAGGGATTGTATTTATGCTAGGAACATTTGGAAGAATGTTAGGAATGATCAATGGCAAAGGGAGGCTGAATCTCTTACCCTTGAGATTTGGATTACATCTAATCTTAAGGATAACAAACAAGAATGTGGGTATTTGAAAAGTTGCTATTTTAGTAGGCTATTTTAGTTTTTGACTATTTTAATAGGCTAAAATTTTTGTGTTTAGAAAGATGATTAGATTTTTTTGTAGTTGAATGTGATGTATGTGAGATAAAAAGTGAAATGATTATGGATTTGATGTGACATTTTGTCTTATTAGCTATTTTAGCCTATTTTGTCTTTTTGTGAATTTTAGCCTAAAAAAGGCTAAAAACTTCCTTGCCAAACACCCCCAATATAGAGGCATCCCTTGGAAGATTTGGTTTGTTGTTCTTTTGTGGCAAATCTAGAAGGATAGAAATAAAAAGGTTTTCGAAAACTTGGTTGTGAATGTTAAACATAGCATTTTTCAAGCATTCCAATATGCCTCTAATATTCATGAAGCTTTCAAGTCTCCTCTTGCCAAAGATCAATCTATTCTTAATTTAATAGCCTGGTTGAGTCCTTGTGCAGGTAAATTCAAACTCAATACAAATGGTTGTGCCAAAGACAAACCAAGTAAAGCAGGCTTTGGTGGTTTGTTTAGAGATGAAAGAGGACAGTGGGTTCAAGGCTACACTGGAAAGCTGGAAGCTGCTACCAATCTAGAGTCAAAATTATGGGCAATCTATTGAGGCCTCACTATCATTCTAGAGAAAGGTTGGAGAGAAATCCAAATAGAGAGGGATTGCAAAGTGGCTGTGAATCAGATTTCCACCCCAGATGAGCAACTTCAGAACTGCCCATTCAGAGCTCTCCTTTTCAACATCAAGGCACTACTCCAACGCACAGAGTGCAACATTGTGCATATCTATTGTGAAGGGAACACGTGTGCTGATGAGCTTGCCCGTTTAGGAGCTGATCAAGCTAAGGACTTGGAGGTGTATGAAGATCCACCACAAACACTTAGGCCTTTTCTTGTAGCCGATATGGTTGGTACTGTGTAAGAGAGGGTCTAGCCTTCTCTTGAACTCTTTGTTGTTTTGAACTCTGTTTTTTCTTTTCCAAAGCATCCAAAAAAAAATAAGAAATTAAGGGGAAAAAATAAGATGAAGACTTAAGATCAAAGCATGCAATCTCTTCATAGTTTCCTCAAGTTTCAAATGCAAATAACTGTCATGCACTAAAAAGGGAGTCCTAATAATAGGTGGAATCAAATAGGTGTCAAACTAGTGGGCCAATAGCTATCCATTTAGTAATAGACACCCATATATATCCTACTAATGTGGATCGGACAAGCAGGTATAGCCATAGAAAAAATCCTCCAGTAAAATTTCATGCTTACAAATTAATGATCTTTCAGAAAACAACAGATGATTTATAGCATGCAATTCAAACAGATTTGCCTTTCATTAGATTAGGAAAATGATGATTTACAGATTTCAAAAATAAAGTGACCCATAAAAGGGGAAAAAATGGTTCTTGAATGAAAGTCGAAATTTGTGTATATTAAAAATAAAAATAAAAATAAAATAAAAAATATAAAGATACTCAAAAATAGGGACAGAAGTAATTTCTTATGATATAGGGACTTTAGGCTACCAAAATAAGTTCAACTGATTCAGATCTTGTGCCCTTTTCTACAAGGATTTTGTGAAGAACCTGTCACTTATACATAAGAGCTACCCTTTTCTATAAGGATTTTGAGAAGAACCTGTCACTTCTACATAAGAGCTGCTTATGATTCACAAAGGCTATAAGGTCAGCCACTTTGGGGTATCAAATGCTGGAATTTGAGAAGCAATATACTGAAAAAATTATTATAATGACAACAATATATGGTGTGTTTATAAGTTGTGTATGTGCATGTAGTGATGCATCAAGGGAAGCCAGAGCATGAACCAATCAAGGACGAAATTGGCAACCACAGGGTCCATTCCTTAAAGAGAAAGCCTAAGTGCATGAAGGATTTTCACATAATGGGACACAGATCTATCATTTATGTTATATTCTGTGAAAATCCTGTGTTGAGAACAGTTGTTCCTTAAATGGTTCAATCATGCCTAATGAAGAAAATCACAGCTAATAAATTTTGAGGAGTGATTTCATTCAAGTTAAAAAAACTAAAATATAAAACAAAACCCCTCTAATTGCAGGTATAATGGTTGTTAACATCGTCAAGGGGACGATTCTGACAAGGGAGATCAATGCAATTTCATAAACCAATGGGGACGTCCCTACAAATTATAATTGTCAGATACCTCAAGGAAGGTCCATGTAATTAGCCCTAAATTCTGTAAATTGCTACATTAGCTACATCATTGTGCTAAAGCACTTGTATAGTCAAGTATGATCCAGGTAGCAGAGGTGATTATATACACTCGTCAATTGAGTAAATTTGCCTAATGAATGAATAAAACCAGTATACAACAAAACTGTGAGAGAGAGCAATTATTACCTGCAAGACCTTCCTGGAACCACTGTTGCACTTTTCCATCAAGCGCTGTTGACTTCAAATTGCTCTTATCTACAGAACCAGGACCAAGAGCCCTTTGCTGTTCAGATGGACTTTTGTATAAGTTAGGATGTCTCCCGTTATTTGTTCCTGTAAGAGGGATAGCTGGAGGCATATTTCCAGTAACTGCCAAACCAGTCTCTTTACTACTCACCATTTCACGATCTTGACGAGATGCCATGGCTTTTTCACTAGCCAGAATAGAATGAATAATCAAGTTGCCATCAATCTTTACAAGCTTATCATTCCTTGGAACATACAAGGACGCAACAAGAGGCACACTAGAATTGCCTGGCCGCACAAACTCATCCAATCCTCCTCCACACTCAACATTTGAGTCTACTCTCCCAACGTCACCCCTCCCACAATGCAGTGTATTAGTAAAATTATTTCCAATCCCCAATCTCCCACTACACAATCCCGTTCCTATGGTTTGGTCGGAATTGTTTAGATTACCATCAACAGTCAATACCCTCCCGCGGTGGTGATCATAAAACCTATTACCCAAATAATCTGATCCACCAGGAACTCTGTCCCGCATTCCTCCAAATTTCACATTTATCATTGGCACCAATCCACCAAATAGCAAGATAAAAAGCAACAAACCCAGAAAACTAACACTAGCAACCTTCTTAGTTTTGCTCTCAGACTTCTTACTCTCAACCTTCTTAGCCTTTGGTGCTGGGGCAGATTGTTGTGGTTTCAATTTAGGTATTGGGACCAATGGAATTTGAGAACCTTGTGGTTTCACAAAGTAAGGAGGACAAGGCATCCATGGATAACCCAATGGTGCCAGAGGCGGATGCGGGTACATTCCCGGAGGGGGCGGGCACATAGCACCACCCAATTGTTGCCTCAAACTCGCATTTTCAGCAATTACATATGAAATCCTAGTGTTCAAATCTTGAATTGTTGAATGCATTAATCTCACCTTATCCTCGAGCTCTCCCACGTAATGCTTCTTCCTCTGCCTAGAAAGCTGTGCGCTTTCTCGATTCCTTATCAACCTCGCTTTCTTTTTCTCATCCTCTTCATTGTTCCCATTCAAACCACACGGCGAATTAGCATTGCCTCCAGAACTCGACCTCCTGTACTTTCTCATCCTCCTCGATTCAAAATTCACATCTTCACTTCCTTTCTTCCTTTTCAACAACAAAAAATTCTTACCCTCTCCCTCAAATTCAATCTTCTGATCAACAATCGCAAAATTACCCGATTCAGCCAAACCAGAATTTCGAGTTTCAGACTCCGGCGATGAATAATTCAAAACCCTAGAACCAACATCCGAACCCTTGATTCCAGACTCCTCAGAAATCTCCGGATCGCCGGAAACCTGAGACGAGGTCTGATCCGCGGAATTGAGGATCGTGGAAGCGTCGGGACTCGGATCGGAGGAGAATTGAGAGGGGAAAGACTTGAGGAAGTCTTCGGAGTCGGAGGGGAGGTAGAGATCATCGAAGGTGAAATCGAGGTCTTCGAAATCAGCGTCGAAGGGTAAGGCGAGATCGGAGAAGAAGGAGTCAAATAAAAAGGCGGAGTCAAGGGGTGGGATTGCGAGGGCATCGAAGTCGGTAGGGTTAGGGTTTGGAGGGATGAGATCGACGGCGGCCGATTGGTCCGCCATTGCTAGGGTTTCCAAAACTCGTCGGAGTTGAGAGAGAGAGAGAGAGAGAGAGAGAGAGAGAGGTGATTGCGGGGGCCTCGGATTCGAAGACGAAGGTGTTGGGGGTTATTACTGGGTACGAGGAGTCTTGAGTTCGGCTCAATTTAGTGCCCGTGGATTACACGCACTCCTAATATATTGGCCTTGTTTGGTTTTACTCTCAAAATACAGGTTTGTAGTTTGTTTTTGGGAAATAAATTTTGACAAAAAAAATTAAAATTTTATTTGGTTTAATGATTTTTTTCTACACATCAATCAATCATTTTTTCTCTCTTCTTCTCAATTATTTTTTTTTTCACATACATCTATTCAATTACAACAAAATATTAAATTATTCCAAACTCTCATACTCCAAAACTATTTCCAAAATATATAACTAAACAAACCAAAAAAAATTTTAAACTCTCTCCCCAAAATATTTTTTGAAAATTTATTATCCAAAACCAAACCAAACCAAACACACCCATAATTTTTGAAAAAAATTTCCAAAATTTTGTTTGGTTAAAATTTTTTTGAAAAAAAATTTCAAAATTATTTTTTCTCTCTTACACACCAATCAATCACTTTTTCTCTCTCCTCTCTTCTTTTCAATCACTTTTTTTCTCACACACTGTAGACGCGCCCTGGGGGCTTTGGTTCTAAAGTTCAGACTCAAATGTCACAGTTCTGAATCTAATCTGGCAAAGTACAATGCGAGACCGATAAATCACCACAGAGTCCAAATCCAACAAATCGTTTTGGAAAACTGATTTTTAAGAAAAAAGTGCCAAACATGGACTGCTTTGCCAGACACAGAGTCGACACCTAAATATTTTATTTTGAGAGAATTTAGGAAACTCTGACTCGTTGCCTAAGGTCACGTGTCCGTCATCACCAAAGTTGTCTCGACTCGGGAACTTGGGTACGACTGGGGAAGGTCATGCAATGAGCACCCCCGCTCGCCCGATCAAAGATCAGCCACTACTAAACATGATATCTTGTTTTTAAAAACACATGCATTCTTATTCCGATTAATTAGCTAGAATTTACTATGTGATGCGCACAACACACAAGTATAGACTAGATAGCCTAATTTAGAACAAAGCATCGCATACCCGTTTGTTTGGAAACAGCTTGAAGTTTGCTACTCGCAAGTAAGCTAAAATACGGATTTCAATGAATTGTTCCAATTCAAGCAATCCAACCTTCACCCACAGGCATTCAGGCAGTTATATCACATAAGCAATTAGCCTCATGGCAAGCATGCTATCATGTTAACACTCACATACATGCAAGATGCTAAAATATAAACACTTACAGTGTACTCCGAGCCAAAACAAGAAACTAGTTAGTAATCATGCATGATCCTAGTTCATGTCAACAATGGCTAATGTAACACATGCAAAATGCAATTAAGATAGGCTTGGCTATCCTAAGAATGGCATATGAGATGCGACAATTTGATATACGTATTCAACTTGGAATTGAAACACTATGCAATTAGTATGATGCGCCGAACCCGGTGCGTGCAATACGAATGAATGTATGCAAACATGCTAACATAAGTATGCTAATTGAAACATGACCTAAAACTAACCATCAAAAGCAGGTAAGTAAAAGGGAGAAAGAAGTGGGGTTGGAAGACATGCATCACACACGCGCACGCTTATTACATAATTGCGCCCTCTCGACGGAGGGATCGAAAGAATAATACAAATTAACTAACTAACAAGCTAATTAATTATTATACAACACTTAACTAATTAAACAAATTAATTAAGCTACTAAAGCAGTAAAACAGCCTCGGGAAGAGAGGTGCATGCATGCTCGGTCGGCTTCGCTCGGAAATCCATCGCCATGTCATGTTGCCTTTGTTTGCACTGCTCTGCACCTCTGAAAACTGCACAAGTCTCAAGGATACTTCTAAACCACCTTGGGGACATGCTGAGAGTCCATCGACCAAGAGGCAAGGCCATCGGCCAATGAGAACTGGTAATCAACCAAAAATAGGGCTATCGGCCAACAATTTTTAGTCGACCAGCACTTCAGATGGCCGACCGGCCATCTATTCCTGCAGAATGCTGTTTTGCTGCAGCAGAGGACAAACAGAGCATGGCAATACATTTACAAGACAATGTCTGCACAACTACACCCCTTATCATGTTTAAGACTGAAAAGTGTGTAGTTCTCAACCCTCGGACCACCAATCACGTATTTCAATGCATGATGGCCAAAGGAGCCAAGTGTGCAATTCAATATCAAATGAAATGCACAAAAACACATAAGGGGGCCTCAACCTTTATCATGCTTGATCAAGAGGCAAGGCAATGCACACACAATGCAATGCAACCTAAGTATGCAGGCAAGCATGCAAACAACTCAAGCATGCAACAACATGCAACAATATCATGCAATGCAACTAATATGCAATAGGCATACAACCTAAACATGTAAAGATGCATGGCATGCAATAACATGCAAAATGAAATAAGCATGCAACAACATGTAAAAACATGCCAAGCATGCGAAATGCAACCTAAGCATGTAAACATGCAAGGCATGTAACAATATGCAAGGATGGGCAAGCATGCAACAACATATAGTGCAACAAGCATGCAACAACACACAAACCGCATAAGCCATGGACTTATACTGAAAATGGGTAGGCCTCAGCCATACCAAGAACAGTGGCCAAAATGATGAAATGAAGACTCCAAGGACTAGCCAAGCATGCATACATGTTAATGCAAGATTATGGCACAAGACACAACTCTCCAAAGGCATTGAAAGGATGAAACATTGAGTATAATGGCATATGTTCCAGCACTGAAATGTCATGCTAAATGACTCAAAATCATGCAAATAACTCATGTGATGCATGTTGCAAGGCTTAAGCATCAAAGCTAGTGAAATATATTACACTAGAGGCATGCAAGACAATGCTCATATGGCCAAACCAGCCCCTTATGCAGGTCAAAACAATAGCCAAAACGGACTGAGATGATGGTTTGAAAGGCAAGAAAATGAGGCTCATGCAATGGCTCACAGACAAAGCATAAAGGTGCAACTCTTAAACACATTGAAAAAATGATAAACATGAGAGCATGACAAATATATAAGCTCTGAAATATCATTTCAAATGATGCCAAGGCATGCAAACATTACAAGTATAGCATGGTAGGTGCCTCAAAACTCAAGACTAGTCAAGGCATTTGCACTATAGCTATACAAAACATGAGTCATATGGCCAATACAACCCAAAACAGTCCTAGAGCATGCCAAAAGAATGACAAAACGTACATGGAGCAAAGCCAAAAAAAGCTAGCATGAAGGGTCAAAACATAAGACATGCAAGGTTACCAAAGAGGTGTTACACTACACCTAAGACAACCAAACATGGCATGATTCAAGCGACTAAAAAAAACAAAGTTATGGCATGTCAAAATGAACCCAAAAACCCGCTTAGATGGCATCCCAAAGGCCTAAACATGATGACATACACAATGACACATTCACGAGGCACATAACATACCAACTCTTTAAACCATTAAAGGAGTCACAAGTGCAAGCATAGGAGCATACTATATGGATTGAAATATCATGATAAGTGATGCCAAACCACTGAAATGGTCGAAATAGAGCGTGCTAATGACTTGAACACTCAAAGCTAACAAGCTAGATTGTATGGTGGCTATACAAAGCATGGCGTATGTAACCCAAGCAACCAAAATCAGACCTCAAGCATGGTAAAACAAAGCTAAAAGCTTCTCAAAGTTAAGCCAAAACATGTAAGCGTGGTGGCCTAAACACAAGGTGTATGTTAAGGCAAATGAAGGGATTGCAAAGCAAGTATATGAAGCATGTAAAAGCCGACTAAACCCACCCAAAACAGAGTCAACATAGGCTAGAAAGACTTTCTCAAACATGAAGCATACAAGACTAGTTTGCAAAATTTACACTACAAGTGTATAGACTATGCATGGAATAACCAAGATATGCAAAAACAGTGGTATATCACAGCAAAATAGCCACAAATACCAGCTAAGACATGGCCGACATGAACTTAACAAAGGTGCTCACATAAGAGGCAAATATGACAAGTATTGAAGATAACAAGGAGAGAGGATGGCCCTCTCCTCTTAGGACCTCAAAACACCATCCCCACCACTAAAATCCATCTGGATTTCAGTGGTAAGAAGGCCAATACAAGGTGGTCCCAGAGCTCACAAAAAGGCACAAAAAAGAGGCCAAACAAGGCCTAAGAGGGAGGAAACAATCCCAAACACATAAACAAATATCAAAAGCATGAAAATACAGAACTTTTATCAGTTATAAACTAAGCTTAAAACAATAAGCAAGATAGGCTAAAAGCTTAAGCAAGAAAGGGGTATCTAAAGCAAGGAACTCACCCTTGTAGAACCTCTTCAAGAACAAAGCTCCAGCAGGTTTTTTGAGTTCAAACCAACTCAAGAACACTGAAATCAACCTCCTGGCACCTCAGTAACCAAGGGTGGTGTTCTAGTGTGTGTTTGTGTACAATAGTAAGACAATACTATACTTTTGAAGCACAAAAATAGAGAAACAAGACAAGATAGATACAAGGCTATATCTATCTTTTCTAGGACCAATTTCTAAACCCTTGAGGAGGGAGGAGGAGCTCCACCTTTATAGAAGTTCAAAAACAAAGCTTCCAAAGCAAGCCAAACCAAGAGGCAAATCCCTCCATACACGTGCATGGAGGGGAGCAAATGTGCATGCCAGCTAATCTAGCTGGCATAAAGTATCTGCATAAAGCAGATGAACAGGGTTCGGCCAGCAAAAATGGCCGATCGACCAATACAATGGCCGGCCGACCAAATAAAGTGTCGATTGGCCAATACATTTGGCCGGTAGAAAGAAAACATGGCCAATGGCCTCAAGCCTTGGCCGGTGGGTTAAGGGCATGGCATACAAGCCTCCCTCTTCCATTAGAAGCAAAAACACAAGTGTTTGGTTCACAACCAAGCACAAAACAGACAAGTTGAAAGATCTTAAGGTAAGGCGCGTAGCCGAGACCTCCAAGAACTCAAAACGAACACGAGCATGGATGATC